TTTTTTCCTAACCAGTGACGAGGGTTAAGGCTGTCAGTTGAAGAACCAAATGCTCTGCCAAGGTGGGCAGACCGCATGCACCGGATAGCTTTAGTCCATCAATCTGTATGGTCCAATCTCGTCCTCGTTTTCGGACAACTGAATCAGGCGACCAGCCTGCGTGTGTAGTTTGAACTACACATCGCATGCTCGTCTGCATCCTTAATTAAACTAATCCACAAGACTGTAGTGTGCTTTATATAGCCCTTCTGTGGAATACTGCATGTTCGAAGCCATTCGAATTCAACTGCGCATTTTCAGCGGGAACATTTTCACCTTCACGACGAGACCCACAATCTGACAGCTATTCGATAGAAGTAATTACCCAAAATAGCGGCAATACCGGCGGCGATGTAAAAAAAACAAAAGACAGAGTGTTGTAAATATCATCCATTTGTGCAATTTCCTCTTGTGTGTTTGACATCACCACCAAAATAAGCTAATCGGTTTTTGCGATCTATTGAACATCTCGTTTTTTTCCCTTAGCGCAGGTTCACTGTTTACACCCCACCTTTTTTGTGCCTAACATCACCGTATCTTACCGTGTACGCTGATGACACTTTTTCACTGATTTTCCTATTGATCAATAAAATATTCTGACTTGGTTGAAGCTACTATCTCCATCTCAGGGGGGCAATCTTTCTGTATATTATGATTTCAACTTGTAAACTAAATCTTTCTACACGTTTTGCACTGGTTAAAGCGAAAGCCTAGTAAGTAGGAATTCTCCAATGAGGACTATAGATATGATTGATAGAGAAGCATTTCGATAGAAATCTCGGACGAAGTAGACTGATCACCGAAATGTCCATCCACGATCTGACGGAACCATTGGAGGCGTTTTATCCAATCCAAGCGGCGACTTTTCTACGACAAGTGGTTGCAAAATAACCGAAATCACGGACAAAGTCGGATTCTCTATGTTTGTTGCTGTTTGTGTGCACCGGTGCCGGTTATTTGCACAAAAAGACGGCAACCAAAACCGGCGCACGAAAGTGCATGGTTACTTTTTGTAAAAACTGAACTGAACTGATTTGCATCTCTGATCGATATTTTGTTGTTTAATTCGGGGACCAATCCATCTAAATAACTTTTTATTACACATTTTCCTAAGCATGCTTCTTGGCTTTCTATAAGGTACCGCGGGAATGCATTAATTGACCCATTCGTGTGCGATCAATTGCTTGAGGATACAAAATTCCTGACAAGGAGGTCACTTTCACACGCAGGTCCCCGTGAAGGACTTCGTGATCAGTCCAATCACTGGTTGGATGTACGCTGTGGTATGACTAAGTGTCGCAAAACGGCAGCGTTCATACATCTAGACATTTTCTTCGTCACTTTGGTTTTGTTTTATGTTATATCTTTACTCGTTCAGTTTCCTAACTCTACCCTGTGCCAGTCCATCTGAATGGGTGACCAAAACACTATAATTGCCGCACGAAAGTTTAAGAATAATGTTTATATGAACTAATGAAAGCTATCCCTTAGTTCCATCTAGGAGGAGGTGAGAGGGATCTAATTTTAGGCGTTCGCGCTAACTTAATCGTTTTCCAGTAAACTTGTTTAGCACTCACACGGACAGGGGAACTTGTTCAAAATATTGCAATATGAATCTGCGGCATTTCAGTGAACCACCATTAACCTCTGAAGTTGGTATAAGATCACACGGTAACATAACTAGTTCAGGGCCTGACGAATAGTAATCAATGGAATAAACTAAGGAGTATTGCAAAGGTTCTAACTCTCTTTAAAATCTGTGTTCTTTTTATTTTAACGCGTATGATTCCGCTTCTGTTGCTTCAAATGAAACTGTTATGACTTCGAGTGAATCCGAAGAATCGCATTCTACTAAGAACTTCTCAATCTGGTGCTTCGGTCGTTACATGTCACCGATTGGACCAAGTTTGTCAAAACCCTGTCCATTCGGACTGAACTGATTTCCCAATAGGGAAACAAAAGTACTTTTTGTGTTAGTTGCCGAGCAAGGATGAAAGATTCGGAAACCCGGGAACGGTATGATCTTGACCGTTGACCGTCCGAGTATTAGACGTGCATGATCAAACGCCACGATGACTAACCTTGTGCTGTCGGTTGGCTGAATAAGGAGTATCTTGGCTACTCATTTGGATAAAAGAGCAGAATGCAGATGGGAATTTTGAGGGCTAAATTTAGGCGGAAAATAGAAAATTCATAAAGACTGTGGTTACGCGAATATTGCGTAGACGCACGAGCGCCATATCACTCAGAATCTCTAACCACCGGTTACCATGATCTTGGTCGGGGTCCACTACCAGGAAGCCTAACGGGGCCTATGTGACCCAGTGTCGTGATGTTATAATTCCAGAAAAACGGTGCTGGCTCGAGGAGACTTGTTTATTGCGAACCAGATTTAGGGTATGGATAATTTGGTGTACATAGGACAAGATAGTGATGGAGGCGCGGTGGTTTAGTCGCTGCTGTTGACCATGTATGTTGTCCGAGGTTCGAGCCCTGCTGCCACCACCCGACTTTGGTGATAGATAGCTCTGATATCGTCCGGTTCAATACCACGCCTAAGGCGATGTCTTTCCGATAGATATCTTGTGATTTACACCCTCCCGATTGTGGGTGTCAGTTGATCCAATCTCACCGGACGGTTCCGTACGCATGCGACTCGTCCATTTTGCTGCAATTTACTACACCGTGCAATGTGATGTGTGAATCATCCAATCACTTTTGTACGAATTGGCTTTTCCAGTCCTTTTACCAGCGAGTAAAACTCCAATCGTATTACGTGGTTTTTTCCTTCCTCATTCAAGTGTCCAAAGTTGATAAAACTGACCCCCATCAATTGTTGATCATCCAATTTCCAATGCATGAACAATTGAGAACCGAGCTTATCATTTAGGGCTTTGCCTAATTCGTGACACATTGAACCGGAACTTGGGCTCGTCTATCACGTACACTTTGCAGCTTCAAAGTGTAAAATGCTACGACAAGACTGGGTTGGTCCATCACCCGGACTCACTCTAACTGGGGAAGTAATAGAGCAGGTGGATAAGTTTTGCTATTTGGGCAGCTACATCTCACCCGGTGGTCAGGTCACAGATGAGGTGTCAGCTCGCATACAGAGGACACGATTGGCATTTGCAAACTTGAGGCATCTGTGGCGCCGTCGCGAAATCTGGCTGTCCGTGAAGGGTCGCGTGTATGCCGCGGCAGTTCGGCCAATTCTGCTGAACGGCGCAGAAACTTGGCCATCAAGAAAACAGCATAAAGATATACTGTCGGTGTTTGAAGACCACTGTCTACGCAGCATTGCACGAATCTGGTGGGGCAGCTGGATGAGCAATGCTGAGGTCAAGCGCAGAGTTTTAGGCAACCGCGGTCGCCCACTAGAACAAGTGGTCGACCTCTATAGATTACGTTGGTTGGGGCATGAGTTACGCATGCCACCAAATAGGTCGCATGCTTAGTGGTTGTTTAAACTGAACTGAACTGATATTAAAACGGTTTATAATTTTTGTCTACTTTTACCAGCCATTACTAACATGTTGGAGATGCCTTCCCTTGATGAATTTGAACTGCAAAACGTGGTCGATTTCGAGTGAATTGTTTTGTTCATCATTTATGTCCCTCACAGCCAGAACCGTACGCTTATATCGACCGAAGTATATTTTTATGACATGTTGCATTTGATGTCAGCTGTAGTTTTTACAGCCATCGATAAACGTTCCAACTGTTCGTTGGCAATGTGAGTATTGTAATTTCAGCCGGTGATGACCCTACCACTTATCCTACGACTCAGGGAATGCGATTTGCCATCTGCAACCGAAGGAAAAATGGAGTGGAAACCGTTTGAGATAATGAATACAGTTTCCACCATTGCCAGTGTACAAAACTTTTGCTTGCGCATGGGGAAACCAATTTTTTTGTGGTTCAGTGTGATACGGAATCGGACAATAGAGCCAGATTCATTCATTTACCGAATAAGGATTCACAGTCGATGATGGCGGCGCGGGGGGGGGGGGGGTCTTATTTTTACGCAAGACAACAGGTTTGCAATCCGCTCTCATCTGTGTACCCGGAAAAAATTGTGCCAGCTTCACCCCCCACCCTCACTCCCACTCAAAATAAGACCTGACTCAAAAGTGTAAAACCTCTGACCAGGAGACTCGGTTACATACATCGCGTTAGGCTCCCTGGATAGAGACTTGGAGATCATTGTAATCAACAATTAGAGATCATGAGTGATATGATGTTCGTACATGTTCTCAATTTTTTCTAACATTATTCGACTGAAATTCTCCATTTTCTCTTCTACTGTACTTTCGACTTTCCTGTCTTTCTCCTGTTGTTTTATCCAAACCGGCAGCCAAAAGACAGCAGTCAAATAGTTATACAATCTAAACTGAACTGAAATGCTACGAATATCACGATTTACTCATCTCAGGTTATGCATTTGGAATCCACCTTACAGAATCGACTTTACCATACCGACGACCTGATTAACGGCGGTGGTCGCCCGGTGTTAACACCGGTCACTAAGTTATCACCTCGGAGGACGTGTGTTCGAATCCCACCACCACCTGACTTTTCCCATTGTGTGTGTTGTATGACAGCTCCGTTTGATTGACAGCTTCCCCCCCTTCTTGAAAATCATATCAATTGAAGGAGGTAAATATGAGAAAAAGAAGAAGAACTCCCGTTTTCATTGTCATCTGTTTGGGATAATAACCATATCCAACCGAATTCAGTGTTGCTTGAATCTTGGTTTTTTCTTACATATAAGACATTAACACCTAGCTTTAGATAAAATTAAAAATACCGGTTGATTTTTATTCGCATAACAAACGTGGAGGAAGTGAAACAGTCTAAAATTGTTGGTGCATTGTTCCGAAATTCATTTATCACTCGTCACCGTTTATTGCGTCTAGCCGCCCATTGATTTTTTTTCCGGTCTTTTTGTAACCATTTAGCCGATAGCACTTGCCCTCATTATCCTCGGTGCTCTGTTACAATGGAATCAACAAATGCTTGTCGATCGAATAGTCCCGTCCATAGTGGGGGATATTGATAACGAAAATCTGCGTGAAGCTGCTGATGAGGTGGTTTCGGAACTGCTCAGATTTTTCGGTAAGTTTTTCCCTCACTCAACTTTCCCTGTTTTCCCCTGTCGTTGGGTTAAACTTCCAACGCTTGGGCCTGAAAATTGATTCAGTCAAATGCTAAATATCAATCCAGCCTTGTAGGTTCGTTGGAGAATCAGTTCGTAGCTACATGGAAGTCCTAACTTGGTGGAGGGCTTTCGATTAGAGTTAACAGTATGTCATCTGTGTCTCCCTTCGTTGTTGTCGGGCCAAATGAACTGACTGTCACTGAAGATGACACCTCAACCAACATGAATTGGCAATTTGGTTCAGCCATGGTATGAGCTGGTTGACACAGGGGTAACGCACACGCCTTCCATGCGATGGGTCCGGAATTCAAATCCCGGACAGGACGGTGGATATGCACTACTGATGAGCTCAAATAAGAGCAAAACTCGAGTCTAATGCTTCCGAGTGTATAATTGGATCGATGAACTGAGGATTGTGGGTGAAGGTGAAGTCCGAAGGATAGTTAGCTCAAATCAATAAAAAACAATTATCCCACACCACCATTCACAAGTAATTTTGAGTCAAATGCTAGATTAAAGAACTTGTTAGTTTCATAGAACTCTCCACATAATAAGTAGTATGTGAATGACTGTACAAAATTTCCCTGGAAGCACACCATCGGTTTCACCGTTCTTGCCGCTCGTCAGGTGTGTATCCGGTCATCTTTTGTCAGTTCATTCATATATTTATACCCAGGAAGTGTATTTTCGTCACAATAACCTTATTCGCAATACGGGGTGACCATTGGATGTACAGCTCTTTTAGAGCCAGTCCAACGAAGAATCATTGCTATGATTCGATGTTTTGTAAGTGAGTTAGATACTACTAACAGCAACAAACGTGACCTGATGGTCTTGGTAGAATATTTGATAATAATTAGTATGTGAATATATATATATACCCCGAGATCATGGTCACCGATGGTTAAAGATACTGAGCGATATATCAGGATGTTGCAAACAGTGGCGCTCATGCATCTACTCGTTATTCTTGTGACTTTAGTCTATATGAATTCAATATCTTTCGCTTGAATTTGCTGTCAATATTCCAATCTTCATTCTGCAGTTTTATCGAAATGGGCAACCGCAACCGGCGCAAAAAAACGCATGGTTAATGGTTGTCCTGAACTGAACTGATGGCACAACCGATCCAGACCATTGAAGGGTTTATTTAACAGTAGTTGTAGCTTCCCGGATAACTGAACAACTATAGTGTATGTTATGTAGGTCGTCGCACAGGTTAAGTAGGCCGGTAATGGCTGGACCATTTCCGAACTTAGGAATCGCGTATCATATTGATCGCATTCGAAGAGGGTAGAACCAATAACATAAAATGAACGGTTCTGAACTGAAGGTCCAACCGGACGAAAGAAATATTCAAGTGTGTAGCAGCTACACGCTAAATTCGTCATTCTGCTGCTACTCCGACACATTAGGATTTTAGTCCTGTTTCAATGTGTGCACACCAAAATACTACTCACGAAAGATGCGAGTGGTACCGCCCTACTCTCCTATCCCGAGCAAAAAAGAACTGTGCTCGCAGGGATCGAAGACATCTTCCTTCTGGGATTTCGAATGTTTCGGTCACCCATCGAAAGTTTCCGGTCATTTTGTTCTCGCGTGTTGGTGGCCAGAATCAGGTGTTTGGTTTGAGACAATAAGGTTACTTACACTGATGATTTCCTCTTGTCGTATTTCGACCTCATTCATATCCGCAAGTTGGAGGCCATCCAGGTTTTGGATTTAGACTTGGAGAGCGAGCCACCGAGGTTCCTTCGGGAGGACACCCGTTTCAGCTGTATGTGTGGTTTGAGAAGATTTGTCTTCTGATTTCGGTTCTTGCTAGTTTTTCAGTTTTGCTCATTGCTTTGCTGAGGTAACCTATCGTATTGTGACAATTTACCCACATAGAAGGGCATCGGAAATTTAAAACTCCCATATTCTGTACTTGCCTGTGGAGACACGCGATATGCCATGAGCAGTGAGGGTGGTACTATCTCTCTGTTATCTCCTTCCACTGCCAACCATCCTTTGATGGTCCTTTCGTTTCGTTCTATGGAACTGGCAGTGTATGGATGATGACAAATCTCTCGTATCCTCTTGTGAAAGGATTATTAGCCACCATATGGTTCATTATGACAGTGCTCATTGTGCGGTCTCTTTGGTCTCCCAATTTGAATGCGCAAACGGATTCGACATAATAACAATGTATTGATGTCTCTTTCGGAAATTATGCCACAAAAACGATAGATCCTTACTCCCCATCGCTTATTCCATCATTCTTCAAGTTGGTCAGTATAGCCGCTGCCAAAGTAAAGCTTATGTTCACCTGCAAGGTTTATGTGTCTTCTTACGGTTTTATTTAATCAGGGCGTGGCGAAATTGGTTCGGGATCATCACGGTTGAACAATACAGCCGAATGTTGCTGTTTCAATTCGCGCTACCTGCTGCGTTCAGATGAATTGTAATGCGAACGTATCTCGGGCTCTCGTAACGCAGCGGATTAAACAAAGATACGTGACTGGATGTCCCTCGGCTCGTGTTGTTGAAGATCGAGACGATACCACGCTTTGCGGGGGACTAACGACAGTAGGGGAACGGCGGTAGGGTGGCAGGACGACCGGAACATGGGGTGCCGAATAAACACTAGTAGATAGGTCCTCCGTGGGTCGGGGTCAAAGTAAAATTTATAAAAAAACTTTAGACCAGCAGACACTCACTCCTGGAGTGAGGATCACAACAGTTCTTCCATAGTGTTAGAGTATTTCCGTTGCTCTGAACCCAGGGCCCAGTCTGCATGTTGAACCAATCTATCAATGTTCTTCGGTACGGCACCCACTCTGTCTTCACTGACATCCGTCACGATCGTGTGGCTTTCTCTGATCGTCGATCACTCCAGAATTAAATGATGTTCAATCATGCCCCGCTGAATTTCGTCAAAAGCTTGCCGATGATTTTTATTGAGTAATGTGTATACTGACTCAACAATCGCCATGAAATGTTTGACGAACCGGCTACACTACGCTTCACAGCCTAGATACTGTTCAATTGACTGTTTTGATATTGAGTGAGCAAGTTACTTTAAATTCAAACTTTTCTTCGAAAATGGCCATACCTCTCCGTTTTCAGCCCATTAATTTCCCCGTCGACTTCTCAGTCTATGTTTTCTGGGTTTGCCTAAGTATATTTTTTTAACTGAATCGTATTTTTTGACTGCAGAGAACAGCAACAGTCGAACGACTACAAAGCGAGATACAATGGGCAAAAATTGACTGGTTATCTACGAGACCGACTGCTGAAAACAGCCGGAACGTAATCTGGTTGTGTACAGGCTTCAGATCTCAGACTGAATGATGGATGTGTACTACTAATGAGGTCTTATGAAAAAGAAACCAGTGCATGTTGCTCGTCTAGTGTGTGATTATTTGCATTATTTGAGGTCTGACAGTGGATATGGAATCTAAAGGAGAAGATCAGTCGGAATGAAGGATGATAGCGTAGTAATTTGTTTATTTGGATAGTATACTCCAACCTCACTTCACAGCAATATATTTTGTTTCTAACTTGCGATCGATCATTCGAATCGGTGCTCGAGATTGTTATACATTATTTCAGTGGCATTTGTCTGCTATAGCGTGTCAATCATGCTTGCCACCGTATGACGATCATGGAGTACTTGGCGATTTCCATTCACATTGAGCGTCTCCTTTGGAAACCATATCAGTTCAACTAAGCATATTGGTGAATAATTTTCGAACGGGAGCATCATCGCTGGTTTGACGGAGAGGGGGGGGACACAAATGCCGTTCAAGTACTCTGTTGGACTAAGATATCAAACATTTTTTCAGCAATCCCATCTTAAGATTCACCTTTTTCTGAAATCGCTAATGCATTTTGTTTATTCAATAATATTCGTTTTAGTTTCTGCCTTTTGAGGGGACTTAAATCCACGAACGAAAAGCAGCATGTTAACAATCGAACGGGGGAAATAAATGTGAAATGTAAAAGAGCGGCTCGGCACTGCACTCAGCTCCATATCCTATAGTTTCTTCGATCACGAATAGGGTTTTTCGAGTATTTTTTCCAACTAAAATTTTATTCATTATTCATGATCGAAACGGTTGACCATATTGTTAGGGATGGACACAACACCACCGCTTCTCTTTCAATAGAAAATCATCAAGATCGTTGGAAATATTCCATCTCTTTTAGGTAACCTATATTTGAGGCCGAACTTCGGACACAAATGCGCAGTAGAATGACATGTTATACGTTTTTCTGTGCTCTCAATCGGCTGCTGCCTGTAAACAACACATTTAGAGCTGAAGTTACGACAAACACCGGCTGTATACTCTTTAATCCGAACAGATCACATCTAAGAGTATGAGTTTCCATGTTTGACCTACAGACTGAATATCTCACTCACCGATTGTTCTTTCCGTTTTGTACACTGATATTGAGTCGAATTTACATCCAGTCAGACCTGCACGATACTTACACACCTTGTTTCCATTCCCAGATCAATGATTCTCTCATTGTGTTGTCTTTTTTCAGGAAACTACGGCCTATTCGTGTTCTTATGCGGTCTATTTCTGTTCTTCCTGGCATTCTGTGGAGTCTTTGGTGTGTGTTGCAAAAACAAGGTTCTCCTCGGCATTGTAAGTCACCGAATGTGGAAGATCATAACCCCTCCCCCTCATTTCAATCGCTTTTCAAATAAATTGTGCACTTTTTAAAAAGCGCAGTTCCCCAATTGTGACTCTAGGCTATAACTGTTCATTGGCCGCATAACTTAGTAAAACCAATGTCAGACAATACAAGATAATAATAGTCATCCTGAATCACTGCCCTGATAGAAATGTACAAACAATAAGTATGAAGAAGTCAATGGTAACTATGCCGCCACTGAGTGTTTCCTTATCAACGAGCGAATTGGCACCTGAGTTATTCTGATCTCTACAGCTGATACAAAAACTAGGTGATCCATAAAAACATTAGAAACGGGGAACATTAGGTGATGCACAATATTGCGATTTCTGTTAGAACAGCTTTTTGTGTTATGTCCAAACCGGCAAATAGATCCGGTACACAAAGGATAAACCACTGTTTCAGAGAAAAAAGCTTTTACTGTCACAAAAGAGATTCAATGGCAGCTAAAGATTGTTAACTGTGCCTGTGTGTCATGCCGTAAGAGAAGGCAATAACTTACTTGCGGGAGGAACGGTTGTGGTGGTGGTGGTGGTGGCGGTGGAGAAATTGGCTGACACTACAATGATATTTCTCGATGTCTACGCGTGTGGATGAGAGCTATTTTCAGGACTGTTTTTATTTGGTTGCACTCTGTCTGGATCGTATTTATGGATTGTGCATAGTACAGTTCATTGTTCTTTGATTGTGTTCCGTACCCCACCGCTCGCCATTCTCGCCTGTCCGAGTAAAAGTTCAGGTGCACGCGAGACCAAGTTCAAATGGCAGTTCAGATATTTTTGGTAAAAAAAAATTTTTTTTTATGGTTCCAATTCTGCGGACAGCGAACGAGTTCTATGATAATGAAAGTAAATCAGTTCAAAAGAACAAAAATCGATCACTGAATTATTGCCATATTCAGGATTTTCGGTACACAAAATGGAACATTTGACTTTATACTGATTGATCATGTCTGTCACGGATTACGGACGATCAACAGATTTTGCAGCATTTACACCAAAAACTTGTGTATCCCAAGCCAGCATTTCTAAACAAAGACAGTCCTCATGTTTTGGACGCTGACCAGAACGCTAACGTTCGCATCGTTTTTTTTGGCAACCTTACGTGTGAGATATCAAAGAAATCAAATTTTGATAACGGTAACCGGTCTCTAGTGTCTTCTGATCAATCGAGTGTGAACATTTGTTTTGCGTGAAACAGAGAAAGATAAGCGAACTGTCCTAGATTTATGTTATTGAAGTTAAGACTGTGCCTTGGAGACAGACTAAGCACAATATCTGTGTGGGATCGGGCAATGAAACAAAAGGTGCACATTGCGTTGTAGTAGAAAAAATCAATTAGGCCTCTGTAGTCTTCTTGTTCACCCGTTTATGTAGGTTGACCTAACTCATTCACTTTGCTTTATCCCGGAAACAATAGAGTATTTTTTTATTACACTTTCTATGTCATGAAAAACGATCGAGGTGGACCGCACAGTCGCGAGGACCTGCTGTTCAGAGATGGAAACCGGCAACCTCAGTCCTGGGATTTAGCGTGGCGAGCCACCTAAGGCCTCACCGGGTTAGGCGTGATATTGAACGGGACGACAGCAAAGCTACCTGCCTACCACCAAAGTTGGGTGACGGTGATGGGGCTCGAACCCCGGGTCCAAGAACGTCGGCGACAGTAACTAAACCACTGCACCACAACCACCATCCAACTGCATTAACTCCATTGTAGAAACGGTGATGCCTTCGTATGAGAATTTGTAGAATCAGTGGAATGAGATTACGGATGACTCGCGTTGCTTGTTTAATCATATCATCTTTCAAATAATCTGTATTTCAACAAAGAGCAGAGATAAAATGTCACAAATGACTAGCCGGGTTTGTTCATTTGGTTGTCAACATGAATTTCTTTTAAATGATTTTCGAGCTAAATTTTTGTGTACGCTACGTGAATAGTTAAAAGTTCATTCCGGATGATTGTCCTATTTCTAATAAAATGATCACACAAACTGCTGATTACATCACAACTTGTTCAAGTCCAAGGGACAATTTACGATAGCATCAAGTGAACGTAACTGAACGTGTGGACAAATGCACTGCAAACGCCTGTTAAACATATCTGGATTCGGTCATGAAATTGAACAGATTGGGACACCATTTGATTTAGTATCAAATTTTAAATCAAACAGCGGACAGCGTGGTGAGGGGGGGAACGATGAAATTTTCTCTATGCTAACATCGCCTCGGCTTATCTGTGTACAAACGTTGCACAAAAAGCTGTCTGCCCTGTGTGTGTGTGCACCTCGTACGTGATAATATATTGATCAAGCATCTGCTTCCGGTTGACGTGGCTGCTAAGATGATGAAGTCTGGAGAACTGTTTAGATTGATGGACAGATAAACGTGTTGGGTTATGTCTAAAACGCGCGTACTCAAGGTCACTAAGGTGCGAACGAACCGAGGTGGAAATGACGCACATTGGTCCCATCCAAAGACCGATACTTTCGTCCCAACTGGAACTCTTGATAAACGGATTACAAGTGGATGCATGTTTGTTGAACAGGCAAGCGATCGTTAGTACGGGGATATTGGACGACCAGTCAGAACGGACAAAGTCAAACTGGCTTCGTCAAGGCATTTGGTCCGTGACATCATGCGCGCATCGAACATGGAATTTTCTTGTCAAGTTATGTGATCGCACCGCAGACGCCCGTTGTTTGTAAACAATAATAACTCACCACCGTAGGTAGCAATTTTCACAAGGAATTATTGTGGAGTTTAATTTTTTTATGGGTCATTTTCCTCGCGCACAAACAGAGTAAACAAAATATGAACTGAAGCACTGGGAAATATCTCATAATTGGTTCAAACTTCCCGAGTCCTATCGGCAGTACAAGTTGGTCGATCCGGCTGAGGAACGAGCCCGAGACTCCAAGTGGAAGAACGCAAACATCCCAACCGCTTGGTCACAAAACAATAAAAACAAACAGAATTTAAATATATATATGAATTTTATTGATCTGTTTACGTCAGATGATTTTTATTTTTGTTTGTTTGAAGAAATGAACTTGAAAAACCGTCGTATAATTTTAATGCACGGAAAATATCTCTGCAATCTAACAAATGTCGACGACAGTCAAGTTTGTGGCAACGCTTACTATCGATAGCACGAAAAAAATTGATTTTTTATTTCAGTAAGTTGGAAGCACACTTTCCTCTAATGAATTTGAATAGAGAAGTCCCCAAAACACATGTTTACAGTGAAATGATCAAGGATACATTGTGCAAACCTATGTTTTTGTGGCTTCTCTATTCAGTTTCAGTAATTAACGTATTGGTATACATTTTCATTATCAATGCAAGACAAAACCCAGACATAATTCACGTATGAACAGCATACTCACCGATGAAGCATTTACCATGTGTGAGTTTGTGTTCCGAACTAACGGTTGATTAGTCGATTCTGATTATTCTTGTCATTTTATTTTAATCCAAAAACAAAATGCTAAGACTATACAAAGAAAAGGGAACAATTGTAGGATGTTTATTTCCATTCTTTCAGTAACCAAAAACGTCACACGGAAATGCATGCCTAATGGTTGTTCAAACTGAACTGAACTGAACTGAACTGAACTCTTTCAGTGTCATGGACTATGGTATTACTCAGGCAGCAAAGTCAAATTGAGCGGTTGGCTTTAGGGAACTCACCTAAATCCTCTAACGTAATGGTTATAAATCCCGGAATAGGGAGCCAATGATTCGAGTCCTCGATCGATCCGTTGGTGAACGGGCAGTGAGTGAGTGCACCGTTGATCAGATCACCGACTTTTTAGACCGCGCTGGCACACCCAATATATCAAATCGAACCACCTTTTTTTGTACACCTTATCACGAATGTTTTGCAGTCAGAGCGTTCGCAAACCATGCGCCTGCGGCACGGAGCTTGTCAACCCGGTTACAGCCCGGATTGTTTGCTAGGCGTCGTTCGTTATTTTGCACTGAATCAACAACTACTGATTCACATAGGCTTGCTAAGGGCGACCATAATTCTTGACGATGTTGTCTACTGTACAGACGTTCTAGTTTCTGGCTACGTGTACGTGTGGAACATTCTAAAGAAAAAAAAATTGTAACAACATATCGACCAAAAAATGTCACGGTGGTTTATTGTGGTTTATTAGCTCTACTCAAACATTAGACGTATTACCACTTTTGTTTTGTTTGTCCATTCAAAATATAACCTAAGCAACGAAAGACCAAATAGGTTTAGCATGACTGTATATCTGGAAAATATAAACTTATTACTGACCCTTTTTTGAAATAGAAAGACTTTATTGAGAAAATCAAAATGATAACAATACTTTGTGATTCATTGAAGTTACTTCATCTTCACGTGTGTCATGTTTGCACAAACGATACCAGTTTGTGTTTTTTATTTCTCGTAAAGAATACGACAACCGGTTTTCACAATTAGCATTTCATGTTACACGTATCATGAATCCGCCTTAATCGACCAAAACTGACAAACTCAAAACGTTGTTCAAATTTTAGATGGAAAGTAAAATTCTGTTTTTCACTCATATCTGAATTGAATCGATCGATTACCGGCTCAGTTTGATGCACAGGTCAATTAGTGATGTATCAATTTTGGACGGTGAAAACACGCCATAGTCAAAAATCTCGTTCAGGCTATCCAATCTGATATCCATCACGTTATTTTTCACACCCCGATATGCAAGTTTACCGAAAGGTTAAGGTACACGGGGAACTCAAAACTCAATTTGTCGGTGCATGTCTCTTAGCTCACCGAACGCTGATGCGCATACTATAATTTTGTTTTTCTTGATACGTTTCGTCTCACCCCCCCCTCCCCTCATTCCCATCAATCGATTTTGCAGTATGCTTCTCTGTTGCTTGTTATCTTCTTGGCGTTGTTGGTGCTCACGATTGTATTTGGCACACGCACGGCAATGGTAAGTCTATTTTTGATCACGATTGAACAGTCAGAACATTTTTCTACGTTACAGGCTAGTCCTTGTTGCTTGTGTTGCTCACTTGTGGGGCATTATCACGATAACCGCATTGATCAGTTAGAAATAAAAAGTCATAAAAGAGTCTTTTGATTGGAGTTTGTCACGTACATTATAGGTCTAGACATCTGATGGATGGTACAAAGACATCACCACAGTTCCAGAGCATGCCATGTATGACCGGCACTGTTTCTTAGAGAGATACGAGAGATATGCAATAGATTTTCAGCCTTATTTAACTGTCATCTACCCTGATCGTTGCTACCTAAATAGATCGATAAATCCACATTTTGGTGTAGTACACAGTGCGTACCGGTTTCAAAACTTTCAGCACTTATTGTTTCTTCCAGTTCACTGCCTCACGCTCTCAGTGTTTGATGTGACTGAGATACGGATTCATGATTGGTCAGTTTGTTCCCTCACGAGACCCATGAAATAAGAACCGCCAGTGCTTAAAGCCCATTGTGATTTGGGTAGCTATATCTCATCTGGCGGACCCGTCACAGATGAAGTGTCATCAGGTGTACAGAAAACTTGGTTGGCCTTTGCCAACTTGAAACATCTGTGGCGCCGTTGCGGCATCCAGCTGTCTGTGAAGGTTTGAGTGTGTATGCTGCAGCAGTTCGGTCAGTTTTGCTCTGCGGTGCAGAGACTTCTTGGTCATTAGATGGACAGGATAAAGATAAACTGACATGTATTGCGCATGTCATCAAATAGATTGCCCTTGCGTGCGATGTTTGTCTAGGCACAAAGCGGGTGAAAAGAACTGAATAGCTCATTACATCTCAGATTTGTTCTGGCCTTACGAAATACGGCATCGTAGTAAGATTATCTAACCTGTCTGGCGATTGTACACAATGATTTAAAGATACACTGTGGTTAGTTAGATTGTGAACGAAAGCATTGCGATGAATGCCAACAAGGTCGTGTAATTAGACACATTTGTTCAGTTGCTGTCGTTGGATCGAAACCGAAGGAAAAACATGCAGACCATTCAACTGCCAGCCACCTACGCTGAATTCACCATACTTAGGCTGTTTAGGTCTGGAGATGTGTAAACAATCGAGTCAACAATTGACCGATATCTTGAACAGACAATGTGCGCACATACGAGGCTCCGAGGTGTTGAAACCTTAACTAACTATCCCACATTTTTTCTAGATGAAATGATTTAGTGCTTTTTCAGAGCATGAGTTGTTAAACTAATTTCGAGTACATTTTTAGGGGTGAAGATCAACATTTCAGTGTTCATGATCACAAAATAGGCAATCATGACCAGTCAATACATTCACGCACACACCTACGCACCACAGCACGTTTTCAGGGGCCATCCGTTCGTTAGAACCCCGGGGCGAGGAAGGTTACCGCGTTCCCACAGGCCTCGATTGCACCTCTCACTCATGATTGAAAAAAGACACCCATTGTATTGTTGTTTATCTGACTGGCAGAACGCTCACACTGTTTTATTTATTAGACAAAACACAGCTTTTGTTTATCCTGTGCCTTCTTGCAATTCATATTCACTGGTTGTGATCTCTGCTTTTGTTTTTTTTGCAAGTTCAAAAATGAAGTACAAGAAGTGGTTCGAAAGTTCATTGTGCACTCATACGTAATGGACAACGATAATCCACCCAATGCTGGGTTGACCGTGTTTATCAACCGAATGCAACAGAAGGTGAGTGGAGGTTTTCATTCCTTGCCACATGTGGTTCCTTTTGGGCAGCGTAGGAACGGGCCTCAGAGACGAACATCACCCTGGACAATAATGTAATGTCTGAACGGGTGATTGCGACGGAACGATTCTTGGTAGTTTCAGAAAAAAGATGAAAACAGACCGTACGATAATCAACTAGCTGAATTCAATGGGGGAATATCCATGTAGTTTTGCAGTGGTAATTTATGCTATCAACATCATATCATCATCGTTCAGCGGAATACAGTGAAGTGAATTTCACTACTCACTGCCAAGCTCACAATGCATACAAGGTTAGTGGTAAAGCTTAAGGTGGACAGGAACTGGATCTCTTTGAGAGAGGGAAAAGTAAGTGAACCTCTACAGAGAGTAAGCAGTCTGACTGTGCATGCATACCGTTTCAAGCATTATTCTGGTCTGATAAAAAATGGCAACAAGAACGCCACTGCTTTCAGTTCACTGCTGTCTCCAACCAACCGGTTGCGGAGTCTTTCGGACCCCAACATGAAAGGCTCGAGACACCTACTCTACCTAATCGCTCCGTGCATCTCGTCAGCCCTTCTTTCCACATCATCTGTTGCCCTTCACGTGGTTTCCTCCAGCCTGGAGCGGCTACAGCGAATGGAACGCGGTGCGACAGACGAGAGCTGGGCCTACACATAATTAATCTTTTTATTTCACACCTAATTGGGATGAATACCAGACGAACCGAACTCCATAGTCACGAGGACCTGCTGTTCGGTGGTGGAAACTGCTAACCTAAGCCCCGTTGAACTTGAAGTAGCGGACCACATATGACCCCGATGGGTTAGGCGTGCTACCGAACCGGACAACAGCAGAGCTGCCTACCACCAAAGTCAGATGGCGATGGCGGGATTCGAACCTCGGACCATAGGGTCCAAAGCATGCCGGCCACAGCGACTAAACCATTGCGCCATCACCGCGTACTTTGAAAACAGAAAACCTCTAATCCGGTTCACTGTATAGATTCGCTTCGTTCTACCCCACGTACATTGAGATTTGTTCGTTGATTTTCATCCCTTATTCCACCTCATAATCTTTTCAATAGCTGGTGGCTATCCACAGCATATGCGTACTATACCTGTATGTTTTCGTGGGAATATTAACCACGCATCATAACCGATTGTTACTTTTTCGACTGTAGATAGTATTGATTTCACGCACAACATATGCCACTGAGGTCAATTGGTCTGTCGCAATAATATTGACTCACACTTGCTCCTTTTTTATTGGTGGAATTTACAACGATATGATCGTTTTTTTTAGAAAAGCGGCTGCGACCGATCAAAGATTGTCAGGGAAAACCGCACCCGAATAGGGATGATGAACCGCCGCATCGCACTGTGTCTGCAAATGGTGACTATGATCATTTCACCTTCATCCTTCACCGTCAATGACGAGCATTTATCTCCGTGTGTTGGTTTCAAGCCCTCGATATTAAGTAATGGCTACACTTTAGTTCACTCTGATTCTGCCCCAAGTAAAAGTGACCCAATCTTGGTATGAGGATGAACAATTTGAGACAACGGCATCCTTAGACCGGCGGCTGCCAAGTTGTATTCCGAACACTGTTGCAAACTGCTCGCTGGAAAATTTTGTCTGTAGGAATTTGGTGGTTTTTTTGGTGCCTCCCTCCCCCCACAAAGCCTCGTTCGTATGATTTTGCATTAACTGTGGTGACATTACGCGAATGGCAAGCAGGTTTTTCTAAAGCGTTTGATCAACTTCATTAGGCGAAAGAAGTGTAAACACTGAACACAGCCAGAGCCCCATGTTATAGGAGACACTGACCATATTCGTATGCACTTTTTGATGGTGAAAAATAAATTTATAAAAACAGAGATAGAGAAGAATAAATTACCTTTATCTCCAAAGGCGTCAGTATGGTCCGGGATAGGTGTCTTGGGTTGAGCATGTTCACCCTTCCCTTGCACCTCGCAAAATGCTCCCATACTACCAAGCGTTTCAAACAGCCTCTGCTGAGGAAGCCCTACTCGCTGCCTTCTCGTCGCAGAGGTGTTTTCC